TTTTTCTCGTGGTTGACAGAAAAAGCTGTTTCCATGAGCCACAGAAAAAATTCACTCTACTATTATACAGGCAGAACATGCTGTTGTTCGGGCCATATGAAAGAGAGTCCCTACAAACCCTAGAATCGGCCCGAACAACACTATGTTTTATCCTTATAATAGGGGAGAAAACCTTTCCTGATTCAGTTTTATACCTAGATTTAAAAGTTACGTATCTCCCTCTAGACAAGCCATGGGCAGCTAATATTTTAACCCTGTTAGTTTCTCGGTGAGAGCTTTCGTTTGACCCGAATATGTCCTATCTTTTTGATTATCAACACACACACCTCCATTGTTAGTGTTATTTACTAGTATGGGAATATTACTCACCTCTGCTCTACACATACTTTTCATATCAAACTTAATATAAAACAAAACATAATGGCAGCCTATTTTCAAGTTAATACATTATATCAAAGCGATGTTTTCAACTAATAGTTAGAGATTAACTTGCTCGAAACAACATGATCAAACACACTACACTGATGTTCAGACAAAAAAAAACAATTTCTTAGAAAAAGAATTCAATTAATATTAAACATATAACATGATATTTGAAAGACTAAGATAAATATTTTTGATCATCGATTCACTTCGATCTTCTTCTTAGATATCTTACAACTAAATGAATTAAATTCTGGTTGAAGAAAACAACATTGCATAGAAGAGCTCATGACATGTTTGAAAAAAAAATACCTTTCTATTTGTATCCACCGTCATATAAACACAAGAATTCTATATATATAATGTTCAGTGTCTGCGTGTCTGTGCCGAGTTAAAGGTCACAGGCTAAAGATCGAATAAGGCTTTAAGGAAGTACGACTAAAGGGAATAAGGCTATAATGGAGTAAGGCTATAAAAGGATAAGGGGATAGGAAGATAAGGCTATAAGGGAAGAGTGGGATGTGGGTGTGGGTGTATAAGGAACAATGCACCCACACCCACCCACATACCCGCACTCTACTTCTTCGTAGATGAGAGACGTCGTATAGAATTGAAAAAAGAACAGAGAAAAAAATGCAATAAACTTCTTTTTTCATTTATTTATCTATGCAAATACATTAAGAAAAATAAAAACTGCTGTATGTTAATGTGTCACATGTATTCATCGTTTCTTCGTCAATTTTTACGGATGAAAAAAGTCTCCGAAGGACAAAAAGCATTTGTCATAGAAACACCTCATGTTTACTGTCATTTTTTTCCCACACAAATTATTCATCTTTAATGACACACTGGAACTGAAAAAAACCAACGTATATAAAAGCTTTTCATATATTGTTTCTCCTGTTGAAGACGTTACACGTATGTAGAACACAAGGTGACTTTTATGAGTTGATTCAAGTAATATAGTTGATATCGAACAAAGATAAAGTCAATCATAATATCTTGAGAGAGAAGTAAAAATATCTAGTCTAATCAGAAATAGAATGTCCTATTTGAAATCATATCGATTGATTGTGCATTGAGAATTTCTGTCTGCAGTTTCGAAGCAATTGTATTCGAGTGTAGAAATAATCAAAATTTGATTTTCTGTAATCCTCAGTTATTCATTATTTTAAACCAACAAGAACAAAGATACAAGATGAATTTTGAGATGCAGCGTCTTCAAAGACATTTATTTCCTCCGATTCCGACTTTTTCTAGACAATTCATAATGGTTACAAAGTTTGATCAGAATGTGTGCTAATAGACATGTTGCAGATAGTTTATATAAGATTATAAATAAAACTTAGTTGGTTTTATCAATATTTTAGATATTCAATATGTATTATCAAATGAATAATATTCACTTGTACACATTGATCCTATTCGTTTTCATAATAGTTTTTCATCCAAGCGAACAAACAGTGTCAAATGGACAGTTTTCTCCTGGTGATATAAAAATGAAACGTTTTAGTAATACTGTATCTATATCTATTCATAATGATATACCAGATATAGTACCCTATCAAGTATTTTTACAAATTGTGTTTCGACTTCCAGAAGCAAACGCAAAAAATCTCGTTGTATACAGACAACCATCGGATAATGGAGATGCTTCATATGTTATTCAGGGTGTGCGAATGAATAGTGGTTTACACAATCCTGTTCTACACTCGAATATGTTGGTTGAAATGGGTATCACAACAAATGATGACGAAAATGTTCTTGATTTTATTGATCATTATCGACCAGATTTTTCTATCCGTTATTATACATGCGAATCTTTCATCTTCACATTAATCAACAATGCATTTCAATTGTCAGAAAATTTAGATCATCTCATTAAACTTCGTCTAGTTGTTACAGATTTACATAATTTCTTAAGATTCAAAATGGGTGGTCTTTTACGTAATGAGTACACCACAAATGGACCTTTTTACAAAGCGGAATTATTGTCATTAGATAAACTTCATTTATTAAAGCAAGGTATCGGAAAATATTTAACATTTCATTCATTTCTATCAACAACAATAAACAAAACTCGAGCATTAGATTTTATTAATAAAACAGAATATGATCAGAAAAAACAAGCCATAGTCATGTATGTCATTGAAATGAACAGTCAAAATGATACGCAACAGTTATTGCAACCATTTGGAAATGTTACTGTTCTAAGTTGTACAGCGCATGAAAGGGAAATTCTATTTTCTATTGGACAAGTTTTTCGAATTCGTTCTATTGTTCAAAATGAAGCGAGTCAAATTTGGACCGTTTATCTTCAAGTACTTCATGCGAATGAAACAGAACATTTGAATAATCTTACTGACTATTATCTATCAAAAATAGTTGGTACAGAGACATTTTACAATGGAATACAAGCAAGAGTCAATTTTGAGCCACTTACTATCACAACATTTGTTACTATTGGGAATTATTATTCTTCAGTTCTTGCGAGAAACTATGATAAAGCGGAATTTTATTATCAAAAATTTTTAGACGAAGAACTTGAATCACCAGATGATTTTGATTTTCAAAATCAACCAGGATTTTATTATGGTAGAGTTTATCGTCTATATTATTCAGCTCACAGTTACATTAATCTACAATTAGCTCGTATACGATGTGAACAAAAAACATATGTAGAAGCTGCAGAATACAATCAAAAAGCTCAGGAAGCATGTTTAAAAATATCAGAGAATGCTGGTCAGCAGACTCTTTTAGCACAAATTTACAATAACTTAGCTCAAATTTTTTGGGGATATACTCAGCAATATGATCAAGCCACAAGACATTATCTGCATGCAATTCAAATGGATAGAAACAATGTAGAAACATTCATAAATATCGGCTTAACACAAACAGCCGCGAAAGAGTATTGGTATGCTCTGAATTCGTTTTCAATAGCATTGTCAATGATTCAGACACGAAATGAAACAGACTATCTTTCCTACGGACTTATCAAACGTAATATAGGACTAATTTATGAAAAATCAGAGCAAGGTCTTCAAGCATTATTAAGTTATTGGGAAGCCGAAAGAATTTATAACAAATCACTTCCATCCAATCATGAATTTCGACAAATAATACGTGACGACATAAAACGTGTTACTAAAATTGTAACTCGTGTGCATGATGATTTATGAGTATTCAAATATAATCAATTATATTTCACACAAATATATATAGGGATCATTCCGGTGGGTGGGTGATGGTGAAAAAAGTTACACCCTTACTCTCACCCAATCTGCCAGAAGAGAAAGGGTGTGGGTGAGTGTGGGGTGGGGTGTGGTTGTGGGTGGGTGTGGGTGTGGGTGTGGGTGTGAGTGTGGATGAGGGTGTGGATGTGGGGTGGATGTAGATGTGCATGTAAACAAGAACTACACCTAGAATGGATGGAAAAAGGAAGAAAGGAAAAATGTCGAAAGGAGAAATGTAGAAGAAAAATGTAGAAAATAAAATATAGAAAAGGAAAACGAGCGAATGAAAAAATATCGAAGAGGAAAAATATCGAAAATTAAAATGTCTAAATAAGACATGATATATATATAAATTTGTGATAAGTTCTATTGAGTAGATGAAAAATAACTATGAAATATAATAAATGCTTAGATTAAATGTCACTATTAGGAAACTAGAAGGACAACACTACAATATGTGTTGAAATTAAAATAAAGTAAAATGTGCTTCAACTTTAAGTACTTCAGTTAATGCCCCTTCAAAGTCTGACATAATAGTACATAGATTAAAACTGATATGTAATTGAGCAGCTTTATTATGTAATTCATGAAATAAATACTTATATGTAGGTTTTTCCATCAGGTACGAAAGCAAAAACACATACAAACGTTGCGAAAGAGAATAATACTTAAAAAATTTATTTAAGAAAAAAGCATATTCACATTGTTCAAATTTAATTGCATGTATGCAATATACTTGATCGAATATCGGAGGACTGATGAGAAGGTGCCATCGATCAAGATGACTGAACCATCAAATAATAATTTCAATTGCTCATTTGATGCAAACACCAATATTCGCGTTTTTCTTTTTATAATCTGATCAATACAAAGGAAATGTAAATTTTTCAATGTTTTTGTATAAGATTCTGCTATATCAAATGATTGAGAATTAGGAATAAATGGTGTTTGGAGGCGACGTGCTTTATCTAATGTACTACCTGGAAAATATATGCTTTAAGTGAAAAAAATAAAGGTTTTTTTCTAACCAAGTTGTCTCTGAGATGGTAAAACAGCAATTGATAATGTTGATAAATCGATGTGCGCTGCTTCTTTGTCATAAATTTGTGGAATGGGTATACTTTCACTTATAGCACGTGCTTTGACAACTTGTTTGAATGTTCGAATTTGAATTTGTTCTGGTTCAGGTGGGTGATAATGATCACCTTTAATGTTCAAAATAATATCTTGAAGATCAGCACATGCAGTAACAGTACAATGTGAATTTTCATATCGATAGTATTTTGTTGTACTCATTGTCTGATTCAATTTACAAATGAAATTGTTTATATTAAATATTTTTTTTTCTTTTTGAGAAATGACAAAAGATATTTCATTAGAAAGAGTAGTCATCAAATCTAAAATAACTGAAAATCAATTCGTAGATCTTTAACTATTAACAGTCATCAATCGAAATTCCATCAGTATAAGCATTATTGATGAAGTACCAAAGAAAAACAAATTAATCAATGAAGATTAATATTTATCTATTACATTCGTATATTTACATGTGTACTACTTAAAGAATAAATACTATTAATAATATGAACCAACCAAACAAATAGGAAATTTTTAACAAATGTCTTATAGCGACGTCTTACGACTATTTATTCTTTTCTTTTCGACATTTTTCCTTTCGCTATTTTCTCATTCGATATTTTTCTCTTTCGATATTTTTCCTCATTTTCTTCTATATTTTTCCTTTCTTCCTTTTTCCATCATACCTACACCTACACCTACACCCACACATACCCACACTCACACCCACATCCGCACCCACACCCTTTTTTTACATTATTTTTTTCAATACACTACACACTTTTTATTCATGATGTTTTTGCTAAGTGACCGTAAGTTACAGGAGTTCGTCAATTTTCGCATCGACAAAAGAAAGCAATCTGCATTCAATTATCTACAGTACGATGCCTTGTGCTTAGAAAGAGAAAGAGCATATAGCGTTGTTATGACTTCCATTTCTACAACACATTGTAATCATCAAGTTTTAATTATGTTTTTTCAGATTTGTTTCTTTTTCTCTTCGAAGGGACCAAAACTTCAAAGCTGTCTCTGCATCATTTTCATCTTTTTGTTGCATTAGTTGCCTGAGAATTAAAAATTTTCTTTTGTATCAATATATGCCCTGTGCAAAAAAAAAAGTAGGACACATAACTGATTTGACTACTTCTTCATACTGTTGTAGCTTTAGATTAATATTTTCACTAGAAATGCATGTCATATAGCTTAGTCTATTCTAAAACTTGCAGCTAAAAATGGTGAAGATTCATTGTAGAAATCGCTTGTTTCTCATTTAGTCCTGTAAAGCTACGAAAATTTTTTTGATTTACTCGCCTTTGTATTTTTTTCTTAATGGTTATTAAAACCAACATTTGCAAACTAAATAGCGTTTCATAAGTTTTTTTTTTAATCTTAATGAACCGTTTTTCTCCTGAAAATTAGCAGAATAGCCTACACAATCGTATTTATTTTGCAAATGTTGATATTAGCAAGCATTGAGACAAAGAAAAACAAGTCATTTGATTACAATTGCTACTGAGCATATGAGATATAATTATAAAGTTTTCAATAAATTCTTATTTTTCATAACTAAAAGTTTTAGAATAGACTGAACTATAAGTCATGTATATATTTCTCTGGCTAAAGTAAACTAACTACTTTATTTTTCGATTATTTCTCTCCAGTATTATCGTTTGAATTCATATTTGTATCACGAATAGATATTCGATTACTGGACTTGTTTCGAAAGTTTCAATCTTATAGTGTGAGAACTTGTCCACAAAATGAAGCATCTGTATGATGTACTCATGTGTCATTGAAAACAACGTTTAGTGTTTTGTGTATTTTCCTGTCATTTTAGGTTCCATTTGGAATTTCATATGGTAATTAGTTGATTAGTATATGTGAGTACAGAACAAGATGTCTTAAGACGTCTCTTTCTATAGTCAAGTGTACTAGTTAACTAACTACCACCTGAAATTCCAAATAGAATGTAAAATAGCAGGAAAAATACATAAAACAATAAATTTTGGTTCCACTGACACATGAGTACATCATAGATATGTTTAATTTTCTCGACTACCTCTCATACTACAAGACTGAAACTTTCAGGACAAGCCTAAGAATCAAACATCTATTCTGTGGTATAAATACGAAGCCAAACAACAATATTGGAGAGACATAATCGAAAAAATAAAGTGTTTAGTTTATTTTGGCCAGGAGAATATAGTAAAAATATAGGTCGAAGTTGCAATAATGTAGAAAGATAATCGAACAAGTTCGGTGTTCCGTTTATTTCATGTCATAGTGCATTGGTTTTCGTGCTAAGTTTACAAAAACACTGCACTAAGGTCGAAACTGAAACGAAATTTTGAAATACTTCCCTAATGTACAGCGCATAATAATAAAAAATTATACACTTCTAACATCTATATCAATAGATTAGAGAGTGTAGAGGATACAGATTCGTTCTATGTGAAATTTCTCATTTATGTAGAGTAAGATTTTTCTTCCCATCATCAAATACTGAGAGGCATGCTAATTTTCTTGGATATCGTAGACCACCACTGTTTATAGGAAGTAGGCTCGATTGTTTCTAGATATAACTTCAAATAGAAACAAACATAGACTCATTTATTTTGAAAGAAGTGATGCATATATATACATATAGATATATACTATACATAGGTTGAAACAAGCACTGCCAATTTCTCTAAGAATCCATATATGATTCTCTTCACTTTAATTCTGCTGTTGCTGATCCATATTCGATCGACTGTTGCTGTAGCGAGCAATTCATTAGGCGATTGCCACGCGTTGGCTGCAAAATTTAATACAACATGCGCTGCAAATGTAACAATAGTTCCACCTATCATTTCCACACCTGGGGTTATTGTGACATGCACAAGTGGTTTTAGTAATTCAACATGCCCCGGCAATTGGTCAAACGGCGCATGCGTATTTGCTCATAAGTTATGTGTTACATGTTCTGCTGGCCCACCAGTTCGAATTCGTGTACAATCGAATGGTTTGCCGCGATTTTGTCCAAATGCACTACAGCCTATAACCGAACAAGATATTGATTTCACTGTCAATTTCAATCCTGATGTTAGCATCAATTCACTGAATCATAATCCAACTAGTGTCGCAGTGTTGGATGCCATCGTTTGCAACTTAAGTAGTCAAAGTTCCGCTCCGGCAACGTCGAATTTGGTGATAAACGGCATCGCATTAAATACTCTCGCTGGTATCAGTGTTGACGGTGTAGCCATTTTGAACGTCAACAGTGCTAACAAAGTTGATCCATTTTATCCACCCGGAAACATTACAGCTGAAAGCGTTGACGCATGCTTGGGACATCCGAACTCACAGAACATGTATCATTATCATATCGGAACAGCTTGTGCATTAACACAGCCAAGTGGTATTATCCCTCAATGCACAAATGTACCATCTTGCTTGACCAATATTGCCAATTATAGTATCTCATCATTCAACCAATATCGCACTTTGACCGTGATAGGAATAGCAAAAGATGGTCACATCATCTATGGTCCTTACGACTCAACAGGAACAGAAGTAAGTACAGTGTTCAGAGATATGCAGGCATCAATAAGATCATTGAGACTACTTTTCGCAGAACATTGCATCTACTGCATACAAAAAATATTTTCTTACAACTAAAACGCCCTCTCTTCAAATATCTCAGGAAGTCTCAATACAGTAAACAGCGCAGTAGTCTGACGTCATGCAACTCTAGTCTCAGCATCTCATTTTCATCTGCTCGCCATTATAGACATATAAAACGGAGGCATAGCGTAATAGTACAATGTAATACCACAAAACTAATCACTAAAACATAAAAACTATTATGGGTATACCAGTGCATCTAACACAAGATCATAAAAAACACACTACTTATAGGATACGTCTGTAGCAAACTACCGCCGAGTCTAGAAAGGCACCCGCCACAAAAACTTTCCGTATACTAAACCGCCAACATACGCCATGGGTAAAGAAAGCCTTCTCCAAGTAGCACAATCATTAACCCCAAAGAAAGATAACTAACCATGTAAGAACATCAAACGATCAAAGACTTCACCCATGCAAAACGAAACTTCTATCATCTAAATAACTATAATCAAATATCCACTGCTTCCTAAAAAACTATCTAATCTCTCCTCTTTCAGATCACGAATGGAACGGATATTTGTAACGGAAATTTTCACGATTCTATTGGAAACTACGCCTACTTTGCTACTAGAGCGTATCCCTACCTGACCGGTTGCTTCGGGCCAGGTAACTATCCTAACCACATACCCACTTGCACAACAAATCCACCTGATGCATACTCAATGTCAATTTTTGCATTAAACCAACTTCAATCCATAACCACAGTGCAAAGCAATACCATATCACCACCAATGCCGACCATGACACCTAACATCAGCGTCCAAACTCCTACGTATGCATCCTCCACCGCAATAGTATCGCTACAGAACAGTTTCCCATGGAATACAACAGACACAATCAATATGACGGCCACTCTACCAACAAGTGCACCGTCCAATATATCTGTCCCAGCCAGTATGACATCACCATCGCTAACCAGTTCACCAGCCAACATGCCAGGCTCAGCAAATATGACATCGTCACTGCTTACCAACCCACCATTGAATGTATCCAACCCAGCCAATATGACATTGCCACCATTAACCAGTTCAGTGTCAAACGTCTCCGGCCCAGACAATATGTCATCGTCACCACTAAGCAGTCTACCACCTAACACGTCAGGTCCAGCCTCTATAACATCGCCACCACTAACTAGCCTGCCATCATACATGTCAGGTCAAGCAAATATGACATTGTCACAACTAACCAGCTCATCATCGAACGTTTCTGCCCAAGCCAGTATGACATCGTCACTATTAACCAGTCTACCATCGAATATATCTCTCCCCGCCAACATGACAGCACCTCCACCAACCAGCCCGTCATCGAACATGTCAGACCCAGCAACTGTGACATCGCCACCAGTAACCAGTCTGCCATCGAACATTTCAGATCCAGCCAATATGACATCACCACCATTTACCAGTCCAGTATCGATTGCTTTTGGCCCAGTCAATGTGACATCGTCGTCACTAACCAGCCCTCAATCGAACATATCGGGCTCTGCAAATATGATATCGCAACCGATAACCAGTCCACTGCTGAATGTATCGGAACCAGTCACTATGATATCTCCACCACTGACCAGTCCAGCATCAAATGTATCTAGTCCAGTTAATATAACATGGTTACCACTAACCAGTTCACCATGGAATATGTCAGGCCCAGCCGATACGACATCGCCACCCTCAACTAGTTCAGCGTCGAACGCATCCGGCCAAGCCAATACGACACCACCTCCCCTGACAAGTCTGCCATGGAATATATTAGGTTCTGCCAATATGACATCGACACTACTCACTGGGTCACCATGGAGCATGTCAGGCCCAGCCAATATGACATCACCACCAATAACCAGTTCACCGTCGAATGTATCTGATCCAGTCAATATAACAGCACCTCCACCGACCAGCTCAGAAGCGAACATATCAGGCACAGCCAATATGGCATCGCCCCCGCTTACCAGTAGACCATTGAATGTATCTGAACCAACGACTATGACATCCCCACCGGTAACCGGCACACCATGGAACATAGCAGGCTCAAGCAATATGACATCGCCACCGTTAAACAGTCAGCTATTGAATATGTCTGACCCAGCAACTATGACACTGGTACCACTAACTAGTCCACCATCGAACATGTCAGGTACAGTCGGTATGACATCACCACCGATAACCAGTCAACCGTTGAGCGTATCTCAGTGGGGCAGTATAACATCGACACCATTAACCAGTCCACCATCGAATATATCTGGCCCAGCCAACATGACAGCACCTTTACCAACCAGCCCGCCATTGAACACGTCACTTTGGTCCAATATGACATTACCACCTGTGACCAGCTCGTTGTGGAGCATATCAGGCTCAGCCAATATGACATCGCCACCATTAAGCAGTGAACCATTGAATGTGTCTGACCCATCGAATATGATATCGGTACCACTAACTAGTCCACCATCGCACATGTCAGGTATAGTCGGTATGACATCACCACCGTTAACTAGTCAACCATCGAACATATCTGATCCAGGCATTATAACATCGGCACCATTAACCAGTTCACTATCGAATATATCTGGCCCAGCCAACATGACAGTACCTTCACCAACCAACCTGTCATTGAACACGTCACTTTGGGCCAATATGACGTTCCCACCACTACCCAGCTCATTATGGAGCATATCTGGCTCAGCCAATATGACATCGCCACTGTTAACTAGTCAACCATTGAATGTGTCTGACCCATCGAATATGACATTGGCATCGCTAACTAGTCCACCATCAAACATGTCAGGTACAGTCGGTATGACATCACCGCCGCTAACCAGTCAATCGTCGAACGTATCTCAGTGTGGTAGTATAACATCGGCACCATTAATCAGTCCACCATCGAATATATCTAGCCCAGCCAACATGACAGCACCTTCACCAACCAGCCCGCCATTGAACACGTCAATTTGGGCCAATATGACGTACCCACCACTAACCAGCTCACTATGGAGCATATCTGGCTCAGGCAATGTGACATCGGCACCACTAACTAGTCAGCCATTGAATATCTCTGACCCAGCAAATATGACATTGGCACCACTAACCAGCTCACTTTCGAACACGTCAGGCCTGGTAAATATGACATCGCTACCATCAAGCACTCCAGTGTCGAATGTTTCCGGCTCAGCCACTATGACAACGCCTCTACTGAGCAGCCTAGCATCGAACACGTCAGACCCCACGAATATGACATCGGCGATAGTAAGCAGTCCTCCGGGGAATATGTCAGGTTCAGGCAACATGACATCACCACCATCTACGAGTCCATCGTCAAGCACGTCCGTTTCAGCGAATATGACTGCGCCGTCGCCAACCAGTCCACCATCGAATGTATCTGGCCCAGCAAATATGACTACATCTTCGCTATTCAGTCCAGCATCGAACATGTCAGGTTCAACCAGCACGACACCGCCAGGTAGTAGTGGGTTTTCGAATTCGTTCATGATATATAACAGCACAAGTACTGCACAAATAACCAATGGATCGAGTGCAGCAGTTGTTACTTCTGGAACTGCGGGTATCACAGTGAGCCAGTCGACGACATCGCGGACAGGTGCAGCAGCTCAGGCACAATCAAGTAACTCTGTTGGGGTCGGAATTGCGAGCTTGGAAGGTTCTTGGTCCATCTACGTCAGTGTGATGGTGATCTACTGGCGAAAGTATAGTTTTTTACTTGATTAGTGTAGGGAAGCACTGATGTAACTGTATTTGACAATTGCGTTATCATTTTTATTTTCTATATTCCGAACTTGTTGCTCAACTTCCTCACCATTGTAACATGTGGTTGAGTTCATGTTGTTCAACCATGTTTCCCCATTTCTTCCCATCACATATATGGTTCTTATCTTTCTGTCCTTACGTCGATGTGCTCTCTTTTCTATCCTTTCCTTGAGTCTTCCTCTATATTCCCTGTTTTCTGTCTCCTGCTGCGTATATATCCGTGTACTTGATATGGAAACATTGGGATTTTATGCTATGAAGAATTATAATAAAGTGTAACTCCATCTGCTCAAACATAACTTCTATCAGAAATGGTCACAACCATGTGTTGTGCTTGTTTTTCCTTGTATTTTCGTCATGGAGTGATCATAATTAATTGAATATTCAGCGGACATGTCGATATGGCGGTCGGTCTGGAGTCGGTTTAGTTTTTGCTGTGTGAGATTAGATGTGAGCTAGTCATAGAGATTAGGATGGAAGTCATGTTGAAGAAGAGTTATTTTGGTGAGAGGGCTGCTGTTATGTTAGAGTTGTAATGGATAAATGTGCTGTGATAGCGAGTGTATTCATATGCTGTCCGATATGTGTGATTTTTCGTTGTAGTAGAACTGCTGATGAACAATAGGAGATTATTGTTGTAGATGATGTATACATTTGACATGGCTTTTAGTGTTGCTTTTTGGATATTTTGCCATGTGTCAAGTGTCGGTGGATTAGTACTCCGCATGAAGTATTTTTGAAATATTCGAAATGATCTGACGCACAACTATAACCAGTTAGAAAATAGTCAACCAGTCCTCTCAAACTGGTGATCAGCCGTTCTAAATATACTTCCAGACAGGAAACAAATGGGCAAGTTGACAAAGGTTTGTCACATGATAAAACTGGCATTAGGGACTCCATTTCCTTATGAACAACTTCGAAGATTTACACTTGTTCTTTATACAATACTTATATTGCAGTGAGCCTTATTCTCAACTTGCTGATAAGTGTCGTGATAGCAATAATAGGACTAAACTAGATTTTTAATCGGTGGCAAGTTTGTGAACTGATCCGTTTCGACGGTCGAATATTGACATAGATCCGGTGTTGCCAATGATGGACTGTTACACAGGGTATATCTATAAAAGATTTTTTTTTGAATTAGCAAAAGCTGCTATAAAACAGCCAGTCCAGTCATGTGAAGAGGCCCTGTCCCTAAGGGTGAAAGCGAAAGGTATGGGTGTAGGCCTTGTTTTAACTCACACCCGCACCCTACGTAGCACATCTTCATAATCATAGTGTGGGTGTGGGTGTGGGATGTGGATAGAAAGAGACAATACGCACACCCATACCCACACCCACATCCTGCTGTTCAAAAGTAACTGTATAATGTCACCCCTAATGTGTGCAATGTCACCGGTATTATTTTATCTAGTTAGAATAGAAATTCGAACGAGTTCTTCAAGATCAGTACTAAAGTCTAGAATATACAGCATATTTGTTATACTTCATGACATTTTTGTGTCCATTGCTGCTATTCTTCATTTTTAAAAATCAAAATGCTATTGTGCACTTATTCAAAGAACAAAGATTTCGTAATTTTGAGTGTTAACTTGAAAACTGTATCGAAAGACAAAAAAAGTAGCAGAAAATAATTACAAAGAATGCTGTTAATCCCCTTAAAAATTGGCGAAACTTAAAGTTTTAAAATTTATTAGACGTGTAAAATAAATAAAAAATAATTTAAATATCTTTTCTATTATAATTTTTTTGTTTCATTTAAATATGCATTCTAATATTTTAGTTTAAGACATATTGTTAGAATACATAAATGTAGTTTTGCTTTTATTTTGGAATCAATTAATTTAATTTAAAATAAAATAAAATCATGGTATTAAATCAATTAGTTTTTCGTCAATTCAAATAATTAATTTATTTCTTCACTCAATACGTTTTTGCAAATGTCAGTTTTTGTCTAAATTTTATTGGTCAGAAAATTTTTTTTAAATTAAAATAGTCTTATTCAAGCTTATCTGCGTAATTTTGTGCTGTCGTAAATTTTTTTTTATCCATATGAAAATTTTTGAGATATCTGAGTGGAATTCTACTAAATAGCATCTAGGAGTCTTTACTGAGACGTAGAAATTGACTTCTCGATCATATCGTTCCATGATCTAAACGATGGGTAAGTAACATATTGTATGCGTGTTCGGATCTAATCTTTCGTCTTATGCGTATAATTCGATTTAGACTAGTCCGAATCAGTCCATTACATAACACTACAGCGCGCCATGAAAACCGTTTCTGACGATCTTCCTTTTTCCATTTTAAATCATTTTCTGGCGAGCGTCATGTTGATTCGACTTGTCTGGTCATCTCAAAAGGTACTCATCAATGTCTAGTCTGCATTTTAGATTATAATTTGATATCTAACCGACCCTTAAGTAGTTCTGAATGAATTTTTCTTTAGAAAGAGACCAGACTATACATGTGCAATAATGCCCGTCAACCACGTCGTTTCGACGGATATACATGATGGATAGAAGTTTGGACAAGTCCTGGTCAAGGACGTTCTGAGACAAAGACTAGACAAGTCAGATCGACATAACTAGAAAAAAGGAGTAGTCATTTAACTATCTTTTGCTCATTAGGATATTGTAAATTTGTTAGTTTGGAAGTGTGAACTTTAATTTGACCCGAATATGTCTAATGTTCTTTACTAACAGTTCAAAACCTGCCATTGTTAGTTGATGAAAGGTGTGGATGTGGGCACAGAAAGAAGCACACCAAGTGTTACATCCACACTCTCTCACACTCTTCTTTACAAGTAGTTTTCATCATAAGTAAAAAGTGTTTAAACTGCAAGAAAAATACTTCTATGATCAGTTCTTTTAAGAAAAACACATGCAAAAACTCAAAAAACCTAGGCAGATCATTAAGGAATCCTTTATCGAATTGGATCGGTCGTTTACCATTACTGGTTGTAATTCTAATATATCCTTACAAAAGATGATGAGCGACTGCAATAGATTCAGCTATTTCTATACGTATATTTCTTACTGACTATGTGATGAAATACTTGTTTTTGATGTTTTGTACGAAAGACAAAATGTGAGTAGTGACAAGTTATACAAATACAAGTAAAAAAAAAACGAATGATACTGATGTTTTTTTTTTCTTACGAAGAAAAACAAATAAGAGAGGAAGGAAAAAACCTTGTTCGTCTCGAGTAAGATTCGCACAGCTCGAAATTTTTTGCATAATTTATTTTTCATTTTGTCATGCATGATTCAATAAAGCACATTGAGTTATCTCGACCAAGTGCTTCTTCAATTTTCAAAAGCAGTTTTTTCAAAAAATCTCGAATTTTAGATTTCATCGTAAAGTATCTTTATTTTTCATACAATAGTAAATGTAATATTTTTTCGTTCTGTGCAACTCTACAAATATTTTTTTCGTTTCACGACACATAATTGCCTAAAAAAAGTAATTTATTGGGATTGTCGAAATATTATGCAATCATAAAATATCTTGAACCCTGGTGACTCCTAAGAAATGATGTTACCAAAGTTTCCAAAAAAATCAACCTTTTCAGTTTAAAAGATTTCCTAACTGTTCTAATAGGATTCCAAGCATCTTGCCTCTCTGAGAAAAGTCAACCAGTCTTTGCATTTTGCTTTGGTTTCTTGCTAAGAAAGGTAATTTTTTTCAATAATATTGATGAAAAAATAAAAACCGATCTTATGTTTAAAGATTCTGAGCATCAAAAATTGAACAATAAGAAAAACAAATATGACAATCGAAATCAGCAGACAAAACTGAGTTAAAAACATTAGGTTTCATTAAAAAATATTTTTCATCTAAATTTGATCTCTACTTTACTGTTGGTTCTTTTCGATTCATTTTAATCAAATCTACAGTTTTTGACGTTTTCTTTTATGTTGATTTCAAATATCATATTTGTTTTTCTGGTTTTTCAATTTTCGATGGTCGAAATTTATAAAAAAAAAAAACAAAAACGGCCAGTTTTGATTGATTCATCTCTGTACTTTAAAAAATTACTTTTTTCAGCAAGAAATCAAAGCAAAATAAAAAAAAGGCTCGTTGTTTTGCTTCAGAGATACAAGATGTTTAGAATCATATTAGAAAAGTTGGGAAATCCTTTCACATGAAAAAGTTGATCCCTTTGGAAACTCAGGTGATACCATTTCTTCATGGACACTAGGGCTCAAAATATTTTGTTATTACATGATATTTCAACAGTCCTAATACATTACTTTTTTCTTGTCAACTATGTGTCAGAAAATGGAAAGAAATATTTGTACAGTTGTACAGAGCGAAAAATTTATTATATACACTATTGTATGAATAATTAATATATTTTGTGATGAAATCAGGAATTCAGAATTTTCAAAAGATTATTTAAAAAACTACTTTATAAAATTGGGGAAGCATTTAGTCGGGTTTAGGTGTGGGTGTGGGTGTTCGTCTTTTTTCTCCCACACCCACACCCTATTCTAAATTTTTTTCTGTCTCTCACTTGATACATAATTAAAGAAAAAAATTTCTCCAGAAACTTTGGATCTACTCTTTTTAAGACTGTTATTTTTATGCTTCTTTAACCTTTTCGAGCCTATAGTACTTGTATTGCATAACTTGTTTTTTTTTTATAATGGAACAAAATCATTTTGTTTATACTTAAATGTTGAATTTTCAAGATTACAAAGGTCATAAGTTGTTCTCTTTCTAGTCAACTATATAATATTCTGCACATAGCTGCTCGGAGATCAAAACAAAACTGGCTTCCTATTTTCATTTAGTTCTTCCATGCATTTATTTTAAACTCCTTTATTTGTTATTATCAGTTGGATCAAAGTAGATCACCATAATTTGCTAGCTTAATGCTAGTGACGAAGTGTCTCTACTTTGACATTGATAAGATAAATATTAGAATCTCTTCTTTTCAGAAGAAATTAGAGCTGGCAGACCGTAATCTGCTCTTCATGTCCATAATGAAATTGATTCGCCTGTAAAAAAAATCAGAAAAATATATTTGTTTTACAACCTAACATACAAACGCTTTGATCAATCATGAAATCTTCTTTTTGTTGCAAATTAAGATTTCGTTGAAAATATGAGAAAAATTTTTTTTTGTGTTATCATTAAAAGTACAAACTACGTTAGTGTAATACAAAAAAAATGAATAAATAAGTAAAAGTTAAAAAGAAACATCGAGTCTTTGAAAATACATGTTCTTTAAGAAAACATATCGTTTCGCATTAGTTTTATTTCTTTTTTTTCAGTCGATTCCTCACAATGTTATTGAGATCTACGTTCAGCTTCTTGATTAATCATCTCTTGTTGAATATGAGTTGGTAGACCCGGATTGAGACTCAAAGCATAGTGCAATAATGTGCTGTGTATACCTACAAAGTCAACCATAATTTTAATGAACATTGTATCATCTCGAACATAAGAATTTCCTTCTTGTTGAATCCTTTTCAATGGAAGAAATTTTGGTATACCACTTGCAATATTCATTTCCGATCGTGGACGTTGAAAACTACTTGAGCGAATGTCTGGTCGAAATGAATCAATTATATGTCGCGCCGAAGACGTTTGATCATACAAACAAAAGGTGACTTTATACTTGAATGGAAATGGAAGAATCGGATCGTTCGGACTTCGCATAAGTACAAAAAAGAGCGACATATGTGTACGACGAGCATTTCCATCACCATTCAAATATAGACGAGCACACATTTTGTAGCCACTAGATGATGAATAAAATGGAGGTGAATAAATTGATGTTTGCCGTTCAGACTGAGCATCAACTAATCATTAAAGACAAAAAAAAACAAATAGTCGAAAGAATACAAATGATTTTCATGTTATTCGATATCGACCGCTTTTTATTCATCGTATCTTTCAATAATTGACTACTCATATGGTTTTCAAAAATTTAACATTTCTTTAGTCGAACATATTTGTTTATGTCTTATAACGTGATTTCATGCTGTTCTCATGATTTTTAGTGATATTCTACTTGTAAGTTGTACAGTAGGTTATTATTCTATTTACTCATTTTTTCTTGAACATTTGTAATTTTCCAAATAAGTGTTCCATCATATGACACATATTGCGAGTTTTCAGCTGTTTTTTTCAATTTTGTTAAATCGTTTTGAATGCTAACATTATTGACTGTTCGTCCATCCCAACTTTCATCGATTTCCTGTAGCGATATTTTTGATTCTAAAAAATTAAGTGTCAATGTTGGACATTTTATTTGACATTGAAATAATGCAGTATTGAGCTGCTCTTGTCGATTACTGCTCGATATATTTAATTCATCCGGTGACATTTCGAGTATTTCACATAACTCGTGAAAAAGAACTGTATTGAAATCAACAGCTACTACTGATGTTGACCGCAGTGAATAATTGTTCATTTGATAGAGAAGAACTTTCATTAATGTATTTTGATGTTCTTCACTTGAATAATGAATCAATATATTATAACGATGAATCTAAACAAAACAGAATCAGATGAATCAATTTTGACTAAATACTTAATAATTATACTTGTTCATGACAACCAAAATCTTTTAAGAGACAGTTTACAAAGATGTTTTCACATGTCGATATTTTATGTTCATTCAGATTTTCAACTGAAGCAAATTGTTGATTACAATATTCGCATATTGGATTTGAATGATGTTGATCGAGATGTTCCTTTAGAGAAAAAAAAAGGAATCAAATATTTAGAAAATAACATGAATCGAAAATATGTTACTTGATAATCTTTAAGAAAACCAATCCAATTACAAAAAGAACATTCAATTGGTAATGATTGCATATCATTTTTGAAACCTTGATCTATCATTACCTAAAAACTTAACATTTAGTTTCAGCTGAAATAAAAATGAGTATTTTACTTGGCTTAGAAATGTCTCCATTGAACATTGTAGACATTTTATGTTCATTCTTAAAATAGTAATAAAGAATATTCAATGAAATAAATAATACAACTTACTCATGTTGTCGCTGCAAACAAGTTCGACATATTCGATGACCACAACAAATTAGTTGCATTGGATCTTTTAATATAAACGAACAAACAGAACAAATAAACTTTGTATCAAGAACACGTATATTTCTTGCATTAAAGCCAGGCATCCTTTCGCAGTTCTAGTACATAAATTTAGAGCAATAAAAAAAACATAATAGTTGACAAACTTCTTTTACGTCAATTATTTGAATTTGACTTGTTTTCTTGTATTTCACGTTTACTTGCACCTGCAATATAAAATACTGCCTTAAATAATAACGTGGGAAAATTAGTTTTATTTTTGCAAAAGAGATTATTTCGACTTGTTCAATGACTACATAGACGTAATAAGTGAATCATAAATTTTCTATATAAAGTATGAGATAGAAAAGGGAAGTTACAAATACGAAGCAGCTTCGGTATCACTTTTTCTATCGAGAAATGAAAGAAATGAATTTATAGAAATCGATGGCACAAATTTTGATTGCTCGATACAGAAGATCTTTGATCACACTTAGTAGAAAACTGTTCTTGAAAAAGACATCTATGATTGACTGGCAATCAACGGATTACCATTTTCTTCGCAATATAAGAGCAACTTCTCAGCAGAGTAGTACTCAACGAGCCTTTAAGTACTCCAAAATCCCTTCTTTTCAGCTCAAAATATTTTCCGAACAATCTTGATTATCTCATACGGTGTGATTAACTTGGTATTGGGGTTTTATGAATTGTTCTGCAAAACCTCACTTAGTACCCCTATGATGAAAAGGATGAGACAGAGAAGCAATGTTTCTGTCAGGTCCTAGTTCCACATAAAGTGCTTCGTAATTGATTTTGCTGACGTGTAGTTGTTGTTATGTTTTTGTATTCAAAACAAATGACTGATAGTAGTTAGTTGATATTCGCGACAATAAATTTGAAGGTGGTGACTCACACTGATGTCTCTAGCTCGTCTTAACAAAATTATTCTGTTCTGTTTGATGAGAAACTATTTGCCAACAATAATATGTTATTTTATTATGCATAGGCGAGAAAGAAGATGGCTCCAGTAGTCTTTGAGAAGAAAACAATAATAAAACTGCTACCAGTGCTAAAATAGCTGGTAGGTTAATTGTTTTTAAAAAAAGTTAGATAAAAAAAGTAGCGTATGAAGATAGTTTTTATGATTCAAGAGAAAACACATTGAACCATCGAAATTTGATTGGTTATAAATTGACGGATCAAGTGAGTTCATGATAATGATTTTTCGAAAATTATATACAGATGGCTACTGTTCCTAGCTTGTTCCGATCGAAAGTGATACGGCTTTTCCGAGTATCTTCGATGTCAGTTATTGCTCTATGTTTGTGACCCAAAAGAGGCTAGACTAGACTAACTAGTGATAATAGCTCCAATGATGACATCTAAAGATAGATACAAAATGATCTGATACCATAATCTCAGCATTTATGAAGTTCCAAAGTTAGTCTTCAGAGGTAACGAAATAGCTGACAATTCGAAGACATTGAAATACAAGTGTTAGATCCATGCGAACCTACACTTCAGTATCATCATTGAACTTAGCACAGTAGAGTATCTTTGTGCAGTGGCCATTATTGTTGACTGCAGACCGATTGACTGCAATGGGATGTCTCTTGGAAGGGTATAAAAGATTGCATTGATTTGGTCGACAGAAGAAAATGATGAAGGAATTTAGCAGGAGAAAAAATATGACGATTATATAAAAATAAAGAAAAAGAATTTTTTTTGAATTTTCGGTCGACCAACTGAATATATTTTGTTAAGCACAAAACGATGCGATGTATTAATATCCCTAATGGTACCAGAGAAAGTGAGAAGACTCAATTATATTGCGGATATTTTGAGACTTTAGATGAGAATTCTGAAGGAAGTCATTTTTCTGATGAAAGAGCTCAAAAAATATGTAAGAAGCTGAAAAAAGAAGTGTTCCTAAGTTCAAACGTTGTGAATAAGGTAAATCTGAGTAAGATACAAAGATTCCATAAGAACAAGTGCTCTCCAACATATTCAACAGAATCTTAGCCATTTGAATGGAATTTTAGCCCAAAGGATGACATAAATTTTAAAAAAGTGGATAACGATTGTTCGAGCTGAAAACTTGTTCACATATAGATCTAATTATTGTTAAAATGTCCTCAAAATTAAAGCTCAAAATTGTAATTCGTTCATCATATATTGGAGTTGTAAAAATTACTCATATCTACTCAAAAAATTAAGATATCTCTGTGTTTTTGGAAAGTTATTATCTCACGTGAGAAATCCTCCGTATATTCTACTTATAAATAAGCTTATATATAGTTAAAAATTTTAGTTTTGTCCACACTCAAGCAATTTATTAATGTGTAACGTCTTACAGACGGAAATTTCAATTAAATATGTGTAACTGTCATATGGCATGTCTCTACTTTCAATTATAATCCACACTCAGATACACTTGCAGTGAGAAACAGAAGAGTGACTAATATGACTTAATGATATACGAAATGTTTGTAATTTTGTTTGGGAGTATGGTTTCTTCACTGTTTAAGGTCGATAGTTTTTCTCTTTCCTGTCTTTCACTATTTTACTAAATCAACAACTAAATAAATAGAAATGAACTTACAGTTTTTTCCATATGATATGGAATATTATTTTGATAACAATCAAAAGATTTCAAGTCGAAATTGAATAGAGTAACAAATGAACATATCGTAATAAATTTGTAATAATGTACCACTGTAATATCAGAAGAAGATTTGAGTTTTTTGTCGATGTTATTATCATTATTGCAGTTGTTTATTCGGTATAACTTTATTCAGCGTCAATTTGTATAGCATCCTCAATGGTGACATTACCAAATATTTTTCTTTGATTTAAAAAGTAAAAATATCATATATAGTTTCTGTTATATCTTTCCTAATGTAACTGTTAAACGAAATTTACAGAAAACTGCTGTTAGAATTTCATAGAAGTCGTATGTGAAGAAACAATAATTTTATTAATGATAACATTAATATAAGATTCTTACTGGGAAAAATAATTAAAGCTGCTATTTAAAAATAATAAGGTTCAGTTTGCAAATTCTTGACATATAACTGATTTATCATCGTTTGTTCTGTAAATCTGATCCAGTTGCTTTATGGCAATAGTATTCATTGTTCAATTTATTTTGAATGTCCTAAAATGAAACATGTTTGAAAACAACCATACCAAAAGATGAAAGCCTGCAAGAGAAATAAATTGTACCTACAATTACAAGATAAAATTGGTTATCAATACAACTGAATATCGCACTCGTCAAGTCATATGTCTGTTTACGTTTCACATGTAGAAATGTGTATCTATAGAAGAAACAAAATATTGATAGTTGATTATTGTCGTTACAGTATGGATACCTATGTAAGATTTTTAAGACTATCTGCTCATTCTTGGTCATTTCTGGTTGTGGTAGAGCGTACAATGGCTCAGCCTGTTTGGAATTCCACGAGAGACGTAAGCAAAGATTCATAGGTGATAAAGGTATATCTCTTGGAAAATCGTATAAATCCAGATACGAAGATCAAAAACTAAACTAGCCTGTTTTTCTAATGCTCAGGCTTCGAAATAATTGGAGTGAAAGTCATAGTCTGATCGATAATATTCGTATTAATTGCTAATGTGATAACAAATGATTTCATCCAAAATCGACTTTTCTTAGAAAAACAAGTTGAAATCTTGCCTATATTCGTTTCCGCTGGGCATGTAATTCCTTATTCTAGGTGCTCTATTTATAGTGATCAATATTTGGATATAAAATAGGTATCCAAAAATAGGCTCAAATTTCTAGAAAAGTAAGAAAGTTTTCGGCTAAAGTCACTCTATAATGACACAATGCACAACATTAAGAGTAAAGAGAAAAATAACACATAAAAGATGGATCAACTGATTATTACAGGTGCAGAAAGTTTAGTATATTTTTCTATGATTTTGAAGCTGTTGATTGTGATCATTTGCTTTTTTTCTATCTATGATCTGATATCTGAGTAAATACTCTATACATAACTTTGCTGAGAATTAATACAATGCATCAAATATGTTCGAGACCTATAAACAATTTTAAAACCTAACTAATATTCTAGTCTTTTTTTCTTAAAATAGTCCAGTTACATGCATGAAAAAAAAACATTTCGAGAAAACGTTCATTTACCATTTTATAGAACAAATTACATATTGTTTTGATACTACATTGTTACCGAGCAGCCCAAAACGGAAGCCAAAGGTAGCGCACATGCTTAGAAAATTCCAACTAAATATTAATGCAAAAAAAAAATACAAGGAGAAAGAGAACAGCGTGCAATCATAAAACAAACCTTATGGAGTAAGTTGGAAAGAAAAACAAGATACCTACACCGCTTGACTTTCACCGAAAACATTTGAAGTGAAGAATAACGCAAACGAAATACTGAAAGCTTCTTTCGAGAGCTCGTTTTCCTATGTTTTGACTGGTAAAACGAAGCATCTACAAAAGAAAAAGGATTTCGACCACGTAGTTTAACAAACCTCGTAAGTTAAAAAACCCGACCATTTGTATAAATTTCCAAGTAATAAAAACAGCATGCATAGAAACGCATAGTTAAGATTTTGAATTGTGGTTCCAGTGAAACTCGTTAATTATATGTAGAATTCTAGTATTATTATTCTAAAAAAACTCACGTATTTCTTAACTGTGTGTTATTTTTATTCAAATATTTACTAAAATGAAAGTTTTTTTGCAATATAAATATTAATTTAAGAATCGTGAGTTTTCAAATTTCAAACAATTTATATCAATTTTTAAAACGGATGAGTAAACAAATATTTGTATTTTTTTTGAATCTCGTAGGTAATCAATGTGTAAGAAACATATCGTTGAATTTGTTTACGTTAAAAGCAATAAACTTTTGATTCATGATACTACCCCCACACCTACATGATACTCACAGTAACACACACCCACACCCCAAATAATTATTGAGTAATACAAAACAGCATTTCAGATATTAATGATCGTTAGACATTTTCATATGACCAACATATTTATATAAAGAAAATCACAAAATTTTTATTCCCGAATTCTCATGCTATTCATAAAGAGTAAATAAAATTATCT